AAATTGAGCAAAAAAAAAAAAAAAAAAAATCACTATTGTGCATCGTGCCAACGTCATAATTCTTATTGTTTACAGCTATGAGCCTAATATTTTTCATCTAAATATTTGTTATGCAATATATCTATAATTGCTTTTTCACAGTGCACTGAGATGAATATTAATAAATGCTGAGGATAAATGTCTATTTGAGCTTTTATAAAATATATCTTAAAGAGAGTCGCTAGTTACATCATATATATATATATATATTTATTTATTTATTTATTTATTTAAAAAGAAAATTACATTATATTTTTAATTTTATTTAAAATTACTTAAATAAAATTCACCTACTAATATTTTTTTTCATTAAACTCTTTTGGACCTTTTTATATTTTTTTAGAATTTGTGTTTAACTAAAACCCTAAAATATCATAAAATGCCATCTTAACTTAAAGCCAAAACAACAAAGAAAGAAACATCATTCGAGCAAATTAATATGGTATTTTTTTTTTTTTATCATAGAAAATATAAATTGAAGATTGTATGGCAAATTAAAATTCGAAGATTGTATAAACTGAACCGAGACCAGATTTTGAATGAAGGAATTCTCTGCAGCATTGGAGAATTGTGATGAAGCACTAAGAATTGAAAGCACTCATTTCAAAACTCTACTTTGCAAGGGTAAGATTTTGCTGAATTTGAACATTTTGGTGTGGCATTGGTGTGTTTCAATGCTGCAAACCTAGATCCTCAGGCTGATAAGGATTCTGAAATTGTAAATGGGCACCAAAAAAAATTCAAAAAGCTTGAGGTTTTTTTTAGAACTGGAGGATTCGATGTGTTTGATTGGATTTTGAGCGATTTTCGTGGAAAAAGTCCCAATATTAGCAAAATATATAGGTGCAGTGGACATCAAGAAGTTTGATATAAGCGGTCGAGGCCTATTTGCAACGAAGAAAATTGACAGTGGGACTTTGTCACTTGTCACCAAGGCTCTTACGATTGATAAGGTTATATTTCACCAAGATTCTAGTAAAAATGTGCAATTAGGTATTTGAAGAATTTCATTGATAAAGTGGTTGACTTAGTCAAAAAATGCCGAAGAATTAACAATTTGATTTAAAAATTATCAATTAATGAAAATGAGAATAGTATGGAAGTTCCTGAGATACTATATTAATTTTCTATGATGATATAAAACAATAATGGAATAGACAACATAGAAAATTTACTTCCACTAATGTTATATAAAAGGGATAAATATGGATTTTTATTTTAATTTTTTTTTAAATTGTAATAGGGATAGATTTGGGGTGAATAGATATATAAAAATGGTGTGAATGTATATTATTTAAACGAATGAATTTAATAAGGGCAATATTGAAATATGACGTGAATGAAAATAGTATTTTTTGAAAAAAAAATTTAAAAATTTTAATATGGATGGATATAGAGTGAAATACACACACACACACACACACACACACACACACACTCTTACTTTTGGATACATATTCGAACAATGGCATATTCAATTTTCACTAGAAAATACAGACGATAATGTTACGCAGATGACTTCTATTTGCCTAGGGTCTTAGGCTGTCCATTGGCACGATTGAGCGGGACAGCCTTAGGGGTTGTTTGGGAGACATTTTTAAATAGTAAATTGATGAAAAATGCGTGGTTGAAAAATAAAGAAATTTTTTTGATTTATGTGTAATATTATTTTAATAAAGAATGTGTGGTTAAAAAGAAGAGAGACAAAAATGCATTGTGAAAAAAATGAATACCAAACGAGGCCTTAATGTCATTTTATCCATATACTAGCTTCATTCGCTACCACATCCCTGATTGTTTTGAACAATACAAGGGTATATTGTATTCCATTATTTATCTCATAAGCTTTTGTAACGTTTTATTTCAATAAAAGTTAACCTTTACTTAAAACTATTGGAATGTGAAAGTGCAACTTGCAGATTATATCAAGAAAAGTGGTACCATTTTGCACAAACTTCAACTAAAATAAAGAGAAAATTTTCTTCCTAGACTCCTTTATAAGAGTACTTCAAGAATGACATATAATTAATTAAATAAGCGACTTAAAAAACTAACATAATGACAATAAAATAATGGTGGGTACATGCAAGATACTATATACAAAAAGTATATCCACAAAAAAAAGACAGGTCCAAAAGACAATTTGTCTTTGCATTTGTAGATAGGAATATCGGTGGGCACCATTTGTCCCTCCTGATTCGAAGGCATCCAATACTGATGAAACTTTCACAAGACAACCTTTCACGTCACCACATCTAGTTGCTTAATCTAGTAATGAATTTAACCGGGTGCGATAAATCATTCACATACCCACTCTAAATTTATTGAGAGCAAAGGCTAGTTCATAGTTGTTCATATGTTTTAAGTATTTGGGTATGGAACTAAATTCTTGAATAGCAGAGTGATAAAGGAATGATTCAATGTCAACAAAAGACGTTACATTTCGATAAATACGACACTTAGATAATCATATGTATGCCTTGGACAGAGATCAAGGGTCCCTTGAAATTACACTTGGAGCATAATGTCTGAACTTCAAATTATCTTGTGAACCGTCGGGGAATCCTAGGTGTTGGTACAACCACATCACGACCAGATTTTATCAAGTTGACGCGATCTGGTATTGTTTTATCAAATAGCCTATTTTCGGGATTCTCAGCATAGCAGACATAGTAACAACTCACACAGGCTTGAGGTAGCGCCATGGCAATCCTCGTCTAGCACATTATTGATTAAATTAAGTCAACCAAACAATTGTGGAACAAAAATTGAAAAGCTCAACTTGATTACATTATGTAAGTAATGCATTATTAGAATAATGTTGGTTAGGTTGAGTCAACTAACCATTAGGTAACCAATGAAGGCAGCCAGGACTGAGAGGGTTGCAGTGTAACCATGATGCACAGTGGCTGTCCAAGCAGCTACAACAATTACACATATTGAGCCACTGCAAACTCCAGTGAGAAAGCAAATGGCACTTGTTATATCAGAGTCGACAATCGGTGCCATCTCCCTCTTCTCAAATAGCTCCCAAGTATCTTGTGACGCCTTCACAAAATCTTTTCCATATGCAGCAATCTATAAAAGTCACAGCCAAGAAAATTCAACACTATCTCAAAAATTTGACACAAATAAAGAAGGAATTCTATTACAAGATTACTTTGATAATAAGTTACTTTTTATTTAGACTTAGAGATTTGATATCTAATCGAGATGTAAGACACTGTCCAAGGTATCCAAGTCACCAGCACTAGCCCCAGAAGCCAATTTCCAGATGCCTCATTCGTTAAGACTTTTAATCAAGATCTACATGTAAATTGAAAGAATTTTTTAACTTAGATAAGCAAGAATGCAAGATTACTTGAACGTAAGCCCAGCCATTTCCTCGTCGAAAGATTGTTTCCATTACCCTGAGACAGCAATGCGCACAAGAAAACATGAACTCATCTTCACCCTCAAGCAAATTCAACCCACGTGCCAATATTCTCAAAGCTTCAATTGCAGGCACAAAAAGGGAACCAAGACAAGCACTCCCCAGATTGTTTGACAAGGCCCTTTGGAAGCAAAACTGGGTATTAGATTGCATACCTCTGAGATAATAAAGAGAAATTACTCTGCTAACTGTTAAATTAGCCACATTCCTCATAACCTCAGCAGTCCAAGCCAAGCTCAATACCAATGCAATTATAATCAATGGTGATATGTAGAAATTCAGCGATCCAATTACAGCTAATATCCAAAACGACATCCAACAAAATCCAGCACCAAGCATCCAATAAGTAGGACGATTTAAATCAGGAAATTTGGATACAGGTTCAAGTGCCTTGATAAAAATCTTGGAGCAAAAACTAGTCCTATGCGTAACCCAACACGCATATAATCCGTTACCTATACCAAAGACGATAAAAAGAGCTCCAACTCCATCCGTTGCTGGCCTTTGGAAGCAAATTAAAAGAATCCCGGCCGATAAAGTCAAGATGAAAGAACTCCAAATTATGAAAAGCACCATAATATTAGGCCATAATCTAACTGCCTTTTGCCATACAAATGCCAGTGTTATGCTAAGAAAAGAGGCAGCCTCAACTTGTGGCAAAAAATACTTCAACACCCTCTTCTCTTCTCTTTGGGACTTACCTTCTTCTATTAGGCCTTGCACTCCTTTAAATATCATAAAACACACCAATCCAAAAGCCAGAACCATATGCACAAGGAACAAAAACAGGGAAAACTTGTTTGTGTATGATCTTGAATTCAGAGTTATCACTGATTCCTGTTCCAAAAAAAAAAAAAGGGTCCAAGAAAATATCTCCAATTAAAATTCAAGAAAAACTATGTAAGAAATGCAGAGGCAGCTCAAGTTCTAGGCTAAATGTTGATTAAAGGTCCCGTATTTAGATATAATTTCTTTTGATTAATGCCCCAAAATTACCATAACCGCTTCTGTGTAAGTGTGCGATATAAAATCTTACTTGTGGTGTAGGCGTAGAGCGAGGCTGCTGCAGAGGAGGAGGAGAAGGCTGAGGCGGCTGAGAAGAGCGAGGGGGCTGATGCGAAGGAGAAGCAAATCTTGTTGCATTATTCATTACAAGTCTTAAAGGATTTGAATTGCTCAATCTTTGCATTCTCGACATGTGAACTTCTTCTGGAGCCTGATTTTGAACTTCTGCTTTATGAATATTCATCTCACCTTTCTCCAAATCCTTCAATTCATCTTCTCTTTTCCCTTTTTCCTCCATTTCTTCTTCACGCACTGATTCTTCTTCATTTTCTATGTGCACCACCTATACAACAAAACAACATAAATAAGCAAAAGTCCAAGAATAACTAATTATGAAAAAATTAAGCAGGTGGGGCGAAAGTGGTTCACTTACAGGTTCTGCAGCACCCATTATCGGCGGCGGTTGTGGTGGCGCGTAAGTGTGACGAGGGCGATGGTGGTGGTGGTCGGGGACGTTAGATTTTGTATCTATATTGTTCTTGGGTGATGCAATAGGCTCCTACGAAACCAATGCTTCCACCTCATTTTGACATTTTACCTCACCTCAGGGAATCCGACATTTGTACACTGCACTTAATGGCGTGTCGTCACACCCTCCAATAGAATATGTTCATTTTGTCAGTTTTTTTTTTTTTTTTTACTGAATTAATTTCACCTATTTTGACTGAATTTTATAATGAGTCCCCACTTTGCGGAGATTAAAATCACTTTAATATATTTCCCTTATTATTATTATTTTTTTTTTTCTGACGTATTTCATTAGTATGCCAGACTGTTGAGAAGTAATTCCGTGGGTAGGGGTCCAGGGGATATTATTGTGTGGCTGCACACTTGGGAATTATGGTCAGATTTGGAGATTGGAAGAATTATACTTTAAAGGGGAATTTGCTGTAAAGGTGGATAGAATACAAAAGGAGCAGAATTTTATGATGTCCCATTATTTTCATGCGAAAGATTACCATGTGATGGACTCAGAATTTCTAAATTCTATTGCAGATTTGATATATATATATATATATCTTATGTTGTTGAAAAATGAAACGTAATGAAAACTTATAAGAACGAATAAAATTTCACATGAAAATTCAAAATTATTGATTTGTTACCAAGAAAAAGATTATATTGATATAAAATTTCCTAAATTTTTATTATCATCAAATTCAACTATTACAACTCGTATTTAAAATAAAAACTTAAATCTGGATAAAAACTAAAGTTCTAGATAATGATGAAAATTAAAGTACCTAATATTCAGCATTGAATTAAAAATCGCCATTATCAAATTATCCATAAAAACGAAAAATACTTTTTTGGAGCTCTAAATGATAAAGTTTGGTTGAAAAAGTCAAAAAATTGGGCGACCTGGTGAGTTTTGCTTATTTGTCTGTTTTCACTCAAAGTTGACACAAACTTCTCTGAAAATAGACAATTTTAGAATTTTTTTTTTTTTTTGACATCGATCAAACTTTTTTCACGAAAATCTTCTTCTTTATTAAGGATGGCAACGGGATAGGTCGAAATTGGGCAACCTCCACCATCGCCCGCCTTGCCAAGTAATTTTTCGTCCCATTACCCATTTAAGGTAGGGTGGAAAGGGGCCCTTGCCCCATTTAGCACTTGTTTAATTTATTTTATTTTTTTGGTTTTTATTTTTGATAATCCATTTTATTGTCCTCATTCATTAAATTCAGACAATAATATATTTATTAAAATTTTTATTTAATTTGTTTATTTTTAAAAATTAAATTATTCAAATATATTTAGTAAAATTAAACTTTTATTGTTTGTCATATTCCTTCAATAGCCTTAGTTGCCATATTCTATTAAAACTAATGAAATTTCGTGAAATTTTTCATTTAAAATATTGAATTCTTAAAAAAAAAAAAAAAAAAAAGTTAAACGATGTAGGGTGGAGGGTCTTTGTTACCCGTACCCACCCAGGACTGAAGTCCCTCGCGTCGCTCCTGACCCAAATACCCAATTAAGCGGGTAATTTTCGCTCCTTTTGGGGTGAGGCCACGAGTATCGGGTTTGATGAATTTTTTTGTCATCCCTATTTTTTATATACCATATCATTAAATTACTATAATTTATGTACTCTGTTTTTGATTTTTTTGGACAAGTTCAATTAGAAGTGGAAATCAATAGAATAGTTTGAAATGTGATCTTATTTTAAAACAACAGCAAGGAACGACATCATTTATTGGTGGGGTTAACTAGGCTATATTATTTATCATTACTCTTTTCTCCGTGCAATACACAAATTATGTTATTTTTAAAGTAATGTTAGCATGCTGAATGTTAAGAATTGACGGAAGATATGTTCGTTGAATGAGGTAAGCAAAATTAACTTAATTTGAAGACTTAAATTTTTGTGATTTCAACCATAAAATATAGCTATGAAACATCTCAAGAGTATGGAGAAATAAAGAAAACTTCACACACATTCCAGACAAAACTTACTTTCGAACTGTTCTTCAAAAAATAAAACAGAAGGCAAAGATATGTTGAGAGTAGTTAGAGAGAATAATTCTTATTAGTGCAATCATAATCTACTTGTCGAATGCTTTCAAATCTTTGTCTTACAGAAAATTTGAATGGATTAATCATAAATACGGCATAATAACATTTCACGTCAAACTATTCGAGAAATCTTTCTACAAGATTTACTTTGATTTGTCACTGGCTTCATCAAAATTATAGTACGTAAAAATTTCACCAGAAATCTGATCAGGTAAAATTTTCTTAATATGATTAACACATTCTTTTCTAGGCATAAGAATGACTCGACTTAATAACATTTCACGTCAAATTATTCGAGAAATCTTTCTACAAGATTTACTTTGATTTGTCACTGGCTTCATCAAAACTATGGTACGTAAAAATTTCACCAAAAATCAGGTAAAATTTTGTTAATATGATTAACACATTCTTTTCTAGGCATAAGAATGACTCAACTTTATATGGCATGTAAATTATTAGCATATGCTTTCATTTCTGTAAAAACATGATGTATCAATTATTTTAAAGATGTGATTTCATCATCAAATGGCAAGATTATACTGTTTGAAAATTTAATGCACTTGCAAGTATGCTCTTGCTCCATTCTATTTTCAATTCTGAGCAAGTAATTGCACAACATTGTATCCAACTTTGCCCCCATATTCTCATCCAATGGTAGTTGTAAATACTAAGGCTATAGGTTTGAGAACACCAAGGCATCGTTTGAGTATTTCCTTAATTGCACGGGTTGTAAAATGGACAAATTTGCTATTTATCTAATAATGATAAAGAGATTATCATGAGTAAAGACAGCAATTTAATTTACTTGGACTAATTGGATCATTTAATTTTTCAATTTTCTTGCAATTTCGAAGATTAACAGATGCATCATTCTCAACAGATTTAAGCATCACGTCCCCAGAACAGTCCAACAATTTAACATGTTTATTACATGGGGAAAAAAAAAAAAAAAAAACCCTTCATGGCTTCTTCAATAGTTCTGTAGCTCCATGGCAATCACTTGTTTGGATAATATTGTTTGCCTTTTGAATTTTTATTTTCCTTCCAGCCTTCAAACTGGATTTCCACCCGAGGTTAGACTTGTGCTCCTAGGTGCTGCACTTAAAAGCAACTGTGGGTAATTCCCCTCTAAGATACTTTGAGCCGCTTCTCAGAAGCTTCTATTGGTAGACGATATAAGATATAAAAATGAGTATTAAGGTGATTTCCCATTTCTTTTCTAACAATTCACATCTAAAATTCCAATTGTACATAGAAGAACAACCAAAATAAAAAAGAAGAAAACATAATCGACATGTACACTATTCTGAACAAAATACTACTTAAATTAATAAGATTTCATCTCCACCAAAAACATTTTATTAGGTTCAATTCAGCTATCAAAAACATTTACCTTAAAAAACATGATTAATTTTATTGAGAAGCAGTCCCACTTTCATGACCATGTTTTTCATGTCAACAGAGTGTCTACCAAGGGGGTCTCAAACAGCTAGCAACTCCAAAATGACATTAGAAGCTTCAAGCTTTGACCAACTCCATACAAAAGGCTCTCTTCCAACGGTCGACATTAAATTTAGGAAATGTTAGAAAATGAAGAGAATAGAGAAAATCCAAGGGGGTTAAGGAATTCCAATTTACTATCATTGGGGTTCCTTAGCCAATCTAGTGGATTTCGTTCTGATTCTCTCCTCTTTATCATAACTCTCGTTTTTCAATTCTTCATCCTCCAATAAACCCAACTTTCTCTTTTGAGCTTAAAAAAGCAGGTAAAGTCAGGGGGTATAGCAAAATAGAAAATATCAACAAAAAATCTACGTAGTAGAAAATGAAAATATGTCACGATAGACTAAAGTCAATGCCTTCAGCTGCAATACAATTACTATTTGGAAATGCATACTTGATAATGCATGAGTCCAAAATTTTTGTTAGTGAATAGTTACCGCGTTAATGAACTCCAAACCAATTGTCACGAAAAACAAGAATTGGCAATATGAAAATATACGAACAAAAACACAATTTATGTGAAAATTGAAGAAGGAAAAAATCACTGACAAAGAAGAAAAAATTCACTATATCAAAGGATAATTATAAAAGTTGGATGATTTTAAGATATTTAATTAGTCCTATTTATAATATAGAAACTACAACAAAAAACAGCTTTTGCAGCGGCCAAAAAATGCGGCAAAAGGTCATTTACAACGTTTTAGCATATATTGCGGGGTTGATGTTGCCGTTGAGGGAAGAGATACAGCCACATCGAATAAAGATGAGAATATATATCAACTTATAAGGTTTTAGACTACTTTTCTTAATAAGATTGACCTTTTAAGATGGAACTCAAGTCTTAACATAGGGCTTGTTTGAGCCACATTATTTTCAAAAAATACATTTTTCAACAGTGATTTGACATCATTTCAATCACACATTTTTCAATAAAATAATATACATGCAAATCTAAAAATTTTTCTTATTTTTTAACCATATATTTCCCATTGATTTGACATGAATAACACATTTTTCTCTTAGAATGTGGCTCAAACATGGGCATAGTATCAGAGCCTATTAAGCTCCAACGAGCGATTCGATCCGATTAAGAATCAATAAATGAGCAAACGGATTTCAAAATCAGTTTGCTGAAACGAGCCACCATCTTGCGAGGGCATGTCAAGGGATATAATTCCACATTAAATAAAGATGAGAATATAGACCAACTTATAAGGTCTTGATCCCCTCCTCTTAATAAGGTTGACCTTTTGAGATGAAACCCAAGTCTTAACACATGTAGTACGTAAAAGCCCAAAACTAGCTAACCAAAACGGGAGTGAATTGGTTATAGCAACTTTGTCGAAAAATAATTCTAAGTGTACAACTAATACTTATTTGAATATAGCAATTAATCAAATGTTTTTAAATATAAAAAAGAGCAAAGACTATGTTGAAATCACGAGTAACAAATAAAAGCAAAAATAAGTAAAAGGGAAGAGAAGTCAAACGATATGATATGAAGATTTGATCCAATGCAATGATCTACGTCCCTGTTACAAACTCTCTGTTACGAGCAAGACCTTT